TTTCGTAGGCTGATGACCATGGCACAAGCTTTTTCCGCAGTTGTGAGTCCAACTTTTACGGGAATATACGCATTGCTCGGTTACACTCTGTCTGTGCTCTGTCGTCGAAGAAGGTTGTCCATAGGATCAGGAGCTCCCATCTAAAGGTCTAGTTTTGCTCGCTTACCTCCGCAGTTTTCAAGGATCTTGTCATATGATCTCTCAGCGACCTTCCGAGGCCAATGCAGTATAGTACCGATAAGCGGCGAACCACTTCTCGAAAAGGAGGTACAGTTTCGGCTGTGAGCTCGACTTCGATTCGGATTGCTCCTCGAAATGAATTCAGACGTTCTCGTGGGAGAGGGGCCTTCTTCTTGTCCTAGCATCCCAGTGAAACTCTCAGGTCTGAGGCGTACCAAATCCAGTCCTGGTCGAACCGTTCGGTCTACAGCACTTCTCGTCCTTCTCCTGATGAAAGGCTCTTGCGAAAGGTCTTTCTTCAGGCCCTAGGAATGGCGATCGATTACGATCAATAGATTCAGCCATAGAGGACATGAAGGCCACGTTTTGGGCCATACAAGCTTCTACAATGGTAGGGCTCACGGGAGTATTAGTCGTAACAGAGTGCCGTGCTGAGTCGTCGTTGCTATGCGTTACATAGAGTGCTCTCAGTCGGAAGCTGGACTCCTTACAGTCAATAGAGGCTTCCTCTGGCCGGACCCTCTCCCGAATTTGTGCGATAATATGGCTAAAGATCACCTTCTTGGAGCTAACAGCATTATGTCAACCACTGAGGTGGTCCTTATAGAAGGCAGCAATGATGCTGCGACGTATGTCATATCCAGCCTATTCAGCATCGAAGGCAACGCTTTTCCCTCGCTTAGTTACTTCCGCGTATACAAAGACGTCACTGAGCTAGTAGAGGATTGGCCTGCAGTATTTAACTCTAACCTCATTCAACGCTCCAGGTGAAGGAGCGGACGTTATCCCGAGAGGGATTGGCGCGCTGTCCGTGCGCCTATCTCTACGAGTGGGATCGATTCATTTTGTTGGTGCTCGTTAACTCGTATTCATTGGTCTTCTGGCGAGATACGCTCACGATTTTTATTCGAGTCGAGAATGGGCACGGCCTCCTACTGAGCGAGCAAGGGCCCTCCTGCTCTGGGGTGAGTGTCTCGGTCCAAGCGCATTCCATCCGTCACGTGTGATCGGAGGAAACTCTACAGAGTTCATCGCAGGTGACTCAATGTTGACCGACGGGGACCTGCGGGACTCCCTTCTCGCTAAGACATGGGAAGTCGTTGAGCATGCAATCTTCGATGCAGAACGTAGTACAGGCTCGATCGAGAGAAACAATACCATAGGGCAATGATTGTTGCCTAGACGAAGATCCATCTCCAAGCGCGCGCTCAACCACAGTATCAGCTAGAACGTCCTGTAGCTTGGCTGCTATTGAAGGTCATTTCGCCCTCGTTACGATGTTGGTGGCCGCTTCTGGATGCCCACTCCAGGACGAATTCGACCCACGCGATTACGACACTGGTAGCCTCTTCTTTCGTGACTCAAATGTGCTATGGTATCCAGCGCAGTGCCGTGCCTCTCCATTCCATTGGAAGGGGAAGTTGCCGATCCGACTGCGCCACCCGGATACTCCGAAGCAAAGACCTTCTATCTGGGACTCACCAGGGGATCAAGGTTTCGTAAGGTTTTACGGTCACTGACCATACAGCTTTCTTTGATGTTGAAGCATCTTGCGAGAGGGGGGACTTTGGTGAGTCTTGAAAGCTCCCGAGGCGTTGGAGCTGCTGGCATAGGTAATGCAGTGGTATGGCGTCGTTCATCATCCAACATTCTTTTTCCTACTTCGACACTTCACTGACTATTTCATTGAAGTCAGCATTGAGGTGGACGAGGACGACACCACCAACCTCGGTAACTATGAAAACTTTGACAGCCTCAAGAGCGCCTTCGTGTAGGGATCTACGTCGTTTGTCGTGGATTCAATCCTATCGACGAGCTGACCGATGCTGGGCTCGACGTAGATTTGTCACATCAGGGAAATTCTCTGAGGAGGAGAAAGTTCACTCTTAAGCGCTTTCTGTGAGTATTAATGATAAAGGAGTCTATTTAGCAAATGGGGCCGATATGCCCACTACAGAGTATATCAGTCAGAAATATATCTGGCAAATGGGGCCGATATGCCCCCTACAGAGTATATCAGTCAGAAATCTATCTGGCAAATGGGGCCGGTATGCCCACTACAGAGTATACCATTCAGAAGTCTATCTGGCAAGTGGGGCCGGTATGCCCACTACAGAGTATACCACTCAGAAATCTATCTGGCAAGTGGGGCCGATATGCCCACTGTAGAGTATATCATTCAGAAATCTATCCGGCAAGTGGGGCCGATATGCCCACTATAGAGTATATCATTCAGAAATCTATCTGGCAAGTGGGGCCGATATGCTCACTATAGAGTATATCATTCAGAAATCTATCTGGCAAGTGGGGCCGATATGCTCACTATAGAGTATATCATTCAGAAATCTATCTGGCAAGTGGGGCCGATATGCCCACTACAGAGTATATCATTCAGAAATATATCAGGCAAATGGGGCCGATATGCCCACTACAGAGTATATCATTCAGAAATATATCAGGCAAATGGGGCCGATATGCCCACTACAGAGTATATCACTCAGAAGTATATCAGGCAAATGGGGCCGATATGCCCACTACAGAGTATATCACTCAGAAGTATATCAGGCAAATGGGGCCGATATGCCCACTACAGAGTATATCATTCAGAAATCTATCTGGCAAATGGGGCCGGTATGCCCACTACAGAGTATATCATTCAGAAATCTATCTGGCAAATGGGGCCGATATGCCCGCTGAAGCACGGGTAGATGAACCTAATTCCTTATTCGCAAATATGATGGACTCATGTTAACCTACGGGCCAAATTTCTGTCGTCACTAGTGTATGTGGATTCCTCATCCTCGGGCATAGTGGCCCCATTCGTCCGTCCCAGTGCGACATTGATATTATTGCGAGCCTCTCAGAGATGGTTTCCAGCACACAGATAGTCATGCAGACGACGTACTCATGTGGATGCTGAGTAAAGAGTCTTTACAGTGGACGTGAGTGCAGAATGGGAGGATACCACATTAGCACGGCTATCACAGCCCTAGGCTGATTCGGGCACTTGTCTGACTGTCAAGCGTCTTGACTCTTGGCTTCAGGGTGAACAAGTACCGCCAAGCCCTGGATTCGGTCTTCGCTATGCTTGAACCTCGCTTACGTGAGCTTGCTGCTAGAGGAGGGAAGCCTAAGGTAGACGAGAGAGTTGTATAGTGGCTTACTCTCGCTCGTCGAGATGGATGTTACCGTATCATCAACCGATGGGCAAGAATCTGTTACGAAGGGAAGTGCCGAGGCCGCGGAGAGTAACGATTTGGGTCTCTTTCCGGTCTCTTTCCGGAATGCATCCTGGTGAATTTTCGGTAGTTGGCCCGGATAGAGGAGCTCCATCATCGAATGGCTCGAGCTCTAGTGGAGCTATGGTCGCAGCGTCCACTGCTATCCACGATGCAGATCATTCCTCTGGGAGACTACATGAACTCCCTGCCAGGAATGGTAAGTCTGAGGCTCTTTTCGACATGCAAATCATTGTTAGTTGGAGAGGAACGACGACCTCCGTCGAATATCAGCGTGCGCCCCATTGGAGATACCGTCGCTGTTGTGGAGGGTAATGAGACTCTTTTCGATACCCGTCCCAACGAATTATTGCTAGTTGGAACGGATGGAAGAGCTCCGTTAGCTATTGACTCGCGCTCCATTGGCGATACGGCCACACCGTTCATTCCTACAGAAGGTGTGGGCCATGCCTCTGGCGATCTGTATGATGTCCCTGCCGTGCAACGTATGGTTAGAAGCTCCTTTCGATACGCGTTCTGACGAATTTTTGCTAGCTGGATCGGGTGGAAGAGCTTCGTTACCGCCCGGTGTGCGCTGTACTGACGATGCGGCTCCGCCATTCATGTCTTCAGAAGGTTTGGATCATGCCTTCGACAATCTACGTGGGGTTTCAGTTGTGGAGAGTAAGGTTCTAAGACTCTTGCCGATACGTATTCTGGCGAATCTTGGCTAGTTGGATCGAATGGAGGAGCTCCGTTATTACCTGGCGTGCGCTCCAGTGGAGATTCGGCTACCTCGTTCACGTCGGTTGAAGATGCAGATAATCCCTTTGACGACCCCCGTGAGGCGTCTGTTGTGGAGAGTAATGCCGTGAGGATCTTTTTGGTTCGCGTCCTCACGGATTATTGCCAGCTGGAGCGGATGGAAGAGTTCCCTTGTCTATTGGTTTCCCCTCCGTTGAAGATGTGGCTGCACCGTTCATGCCCACGGAAGGCGCGGACCATACTCTAGGCGATCTGCGTGAGATCGCTGCGGGAGAAGGTATTGTTCTTACGCTTCTTTGGATACGCATCCCAACGACTCTTCGCTAATGGGAATGGATGGGAAGGCTCTGTTACTGACAGGTGTGCGCTCCAGTGACGATACGGCCGCACCGTTCATGACCACGGAAGATTTAGATTACCCTTCTGGTGACCTGCGTGAGGTCTCTGCCCAAGAATGTAATGTTCTGAGGCTTCTTTCGATACGCGTCCGAACGGCTCTCTACCAGTTAGAACGAATGGAAGAGCTCCGTTATCGACCAGCATGCGCTCTATCGACGATGCGGCTCCACCTTTCATGCCTTCAGCAGGTCCGGACCCTGCTTTCGAAAATCTACCTGAGATCCCCGTCGCGGAGGGTAATGTTCTGAGGCTCCTGATGATACGCGTCCTGACTGGTTTCGGCTAGTTGGATCGGATGAAAGAGCTGCCTTGTCGCTCGGCGGGCGCTCTAGTGAAGGCATGGCCACATCGCTCACCTCTTTAGAAGATGCAGACCATTCCCCTAGTGATTTCCGTGAGGTCTCTACTCTAGAGGGGAATGTCCCGAAGGCCTGTCAGGTACGCGTGGTGACGACTCCTTGCTAGCTGAAGCAGATGTAAGAGATACACTATCCACTGACGTCCTCTCCATTGAGGAAAGGACCGCACTGTTCATGCCTACAGAGGGCGCGGATGTCTCTGATGATCTGCGTGAGGCCTCTGCCGAAGAATGTATGCTCTTGGGCTTTTTCGACATCCGTCCCAACACCTTCCTAACAGTCAGAACGGATGGCAGAGCTCCGGCACTGGCTGATGTGTGCACCAGTGATGATGCGGTGGCCCCGTTGATGCCTATAGATGGTACGAATCATGTTCGTAGCGAGCTATGCGAGAGCTCCGCCGTGGAATGTACATTCTGTAGCTCCTTCCGATGCACATTTCGACGATTTTTGCCAGTTGGAACGGATGGAAGAGTTCAGCTATCGACCGGCGTGCGCTCTTTTGACGATGCCACCGCACCGTTCGTGCACACAGAAGGTGCGGATAATGCCTCTGGCGATCTACATGAGGTCCCGATCGTGGAGGGTGATGTCTTGGGACTATCCGATGCGCGTTCTCACGAGTTTTAACTAGTTGGAACGGACGGAAGAACTCCGTCATCGCTTGCCGTGCGCTCCAGTGAGGATCCAGCCTCAACTTTCACGCCTATGGAAGATGCAGATCATACCTCCAACGTTCAGCGTAAGGTCTCTGCTGCGGAGGGGAACATTGGAAGGATCTATTAGATGCGCGAGCTGACGAATCATCGCTAGCTGGAGCGGATGGGAGGGATCCGTTATCCATCGGCGAAGATACGGCCACACCGTTCATGCCTTCAGAAGGTGCGGATCATGCCTCTGATGATCTACGCGAGATCTCTTCCATGCGGGGTGATTTTTTGAAGCTTTAGTGAATGTACTCCGATTAATCTTGGCTAGTTGGAACCGATGGAAGAGCTCCGGTGTCGCCTGCCGTGCGCTACAGTGAAGATACAGCCACCTTGTTCACGTCTACAAAAGATGCGAGTCATCCCTCTGGTGATCCACTGGAGGTCTCCGCTCTTGTGGGTAATGTTCTGAGGATCCTTTCGACACACATCCTGACGCATTTTTTGTTAGCTGGAACGGATGAAAGAGCTGTGTTATCGACTGGCATGCGCTCCAGTGAAGATATGACTGCACCGTACTTGTCGACAGCAGGTGCGAATCGTCCCTCTGGTGATCTACCGGAGGTCCCAGTCGGGGAGGGTAATGTTCTGAGAATCCTTTCGATACGCGATCCGACGAACTCTGGCTAGTTGAAACGGATAAACGACCTCCGCTCCCGCTTGACGAACGCTCCATCGACGATATATCCGCACGGTTCATGCCTACAGAAGGTGTTGATCATGCATATGACGATATGTCTGCAGTGCGGGGTAATGTTCTGAGAATCTCCAATACTTGCTCCAACGGATTTCTGCTAGTTGTAGCGGATGGGAGACCTCCGTTATCTACTGGCGTGCACTCCGTCGGAGATACGGCTGCATCGCTCATGCGTTCAGAAGGGGCGGACCATGCCTCTGGCAATCTACGTGCGGTCTCTGTCGCGGAGGGTAATCTCCTGGGACCCTTTGTGATACAAGTTCAGACGAACTTCGATTAGTTGGAACGGATGAACGAGCTCTACTGAAGAGCTCCAGGGAGGATACGGCCACATCGTTCATGCTTATAGGAGGTGCGGATCACTCCTCTAGCAACGTACGCGATGTCTCTGCCATGCGGGGTAATGTTCTGAGAATCTTTCTCATCCGTGTGCCGGCGAATTCTTACTAGATATGGCGGACGGAAGAGCTTCGTCATCTATCGGTTTGCGCCACATTGAGGGTACGGCCACGCCGTTCATGTCTGCAGAAAGCCTTCGTCACCCCTCCGGCGATTCATGGGCGCAGAGGGGAAGAGACAAAATCCTCCCGGGTGGGCTTGCGGACTACATTGTTCCGTGAGTGACAACCTCAGATGTCACCCGTGATAGGAGCGGACTCCAGCAGCGATTGGGAGCACTGCGGAGTCCCAGACCGCCAGAGAAGGAGAGGGTCAAGCGGCAATCCAAGACAAAAGGAAAGCGAAAGATCAGTCACGAAGCTTTGCCGAAGAAACAAGGTGTGAAGTGAGAAACAGCTACTTTTTGATCGATGCGACTGTAGTAGGGTCGGGGCATATGAAGAGCCCGTATGCGGCGAGAGCATCGCGGCGAGCTGAGGGTACTTTCCATTTGATGTACTCTATGATGCTGCTAGCAACATGTTCGTTGATCCAGGTTCTCGATGTAAGCGGAGACCTCGTGCCAAGAGAAAGCCGCTCTATAGAGTATCGGCAGAGGTGGAACTAATGGGGACTCTAAGTCCCTCCTTGATGCGCATCATGATAGGCGCCTCCATTGTCACGACCGGTGGAGGCAACAGGGAAAGCCATCGCCCACAGTTCATCTCAGTATCCTGGCCACGCTCAGACCAAGTCGGATCTATTTAAACCTGAGGCGCACACTCACCCTCCTTGGGATCCAAGTCCTCTCACCCGAGTAGGTCCGACCCGAGTTGGAGTGCTATATGATACACAGCGGTTGACTGACTGTAACTCAGTTGCCAGTCGCCCTGTCCTATACGTTCCAAATTCCCTATCAGCCTGAGGTGGACACTTCAATGGCTGCAAAGAAGGCCGTCGTCGATAGAATTATCGAGCCGACTGATACGCATGCTGAGGATATTATGGTGGGCTAACGCGGTCCCCTCTCCTAGTATTGGCTTTAGGCGCGGTATCGTAATCGCGCTTATCGTTGGGCGGTGGGAACTGATGAAGACTCTCCGCGTGACCGAGTGGGAACGAAAGGGTCCGTAGACCGAAGTAACTAGCGGGAGATGATGACTGTCGTGGAACTGGTGAGGGATGCGTTGTAAACTACTTGGATGCTGCCGCATGACCCGTGATGAACTCCGTCTCAATATGCTTTATGACGCTGCGTTATCTGAACATCGGTCTCCATTGCGTCGGGGATAGCATTCCTCTATGTCCGATCCCCCGCCACACCCAGATGTATGCGTAGCTACACTGGTCATGGGTGACGTTTCCTATATAGCAGGCGCTATGGTCATGGCTCATTCCGTTCGGCGACACTGTTCTAAGAGCGCTGTACCGTTCCACTTGGTTTGTATTGTGGACCGCAGCATGGCCGATGTCGAAGCACTTCGATGTGTGTTCGACAATGTAGTTCAGGTCGACCCCATCCTGGCTGAGCCCATGGGTAAGCGGTGGAAGCGCTATGGAGGCCACTACGATTCTTGGATCGATTCTTGCCTTACCAAACTGCATGTGTTCAATCTGTATAAATTAGGCTATCAAAAAGTGGTCTTTGTCGACGCTGACGTTTTGGTGGTTGATGATCTCTTCGCGCGGGTGCTGACTGCTCCAGCGCCTTCTGGTATATGTAGCGACGAAGCGAACAAGCTGGATGGTAAAGAAGGTCGCTTACGGGCTCTCAAGACTGGTGATAAAGTACCCGCAGCATCCCTGAGGAGAGCCTTGGCGTTATCATATGGTATGCGGGGTTGCCTCATGGTACTACCCACTGGTGCCAAGCATTTCCGAAAGTGCCTCGATCGAGTGGCTGAGAAGGAGTCACAAAAGGATGGATACGTTGGAAGGTGAGCTGAGGGATGCGAATGTTCACCTTCAGTTGAGAGTTTTCGCTGGGGAAAACTTCGGTCGTTAACCATTTCTATGACAGCTGCGATTTATTGAGTGCTGTGCACACCATACTTCCCGCTGTGGCAAGTTCAAGCTACCTCATCTGTGTTCTATGCATGCATCAGTATAGCGGTTCAATGGGCCTCTCAGCTCACCCTCGTGTGATTATGCGTTGGCCAGTAAGATCACAGACTGTTCCCAGTGATGAGCATCCTATTCCCTCGTTTCACACTCTTGTGCTATCGGATCCTCGAGGTGCTATGAAGCTAGCGCGTGAGCTTCTTGTGAGATTCGGTATTCTATCTACGTGCCGTCATAGAGCTTAATGAATTCGCTCTCATTGATTGATCGTAGGTGCGGTGATCCGAAATGCAACGCTGGTCCCGACGAGTGGCTCTTCAGTCTCCATTTCCAGGATAAGTGGAGACATCTTGAGGAAGCATTCTGTTGTCGATACTGGCATGCTCAGACTAGAGGTGTTTACTGCAGCATCATGAGTTACGGTTTAGAACTGAGCAAGCATTCCTTTCAGGCATCACGCCGCTAGCGATCCATTTCGTCACTGACAAGCCGTGGAGCCGTAAATCCGACAAACAATGGCCCGACTTTGATATCTGGTTGGAGTATGCCCGGGGTTGCCTCTCTAGCATTCAAGCTGGCGATCGGGCTTCGAAGCTAGGACGCAGACTCTTGAATGATGCCGTCGTGATATGTGAGGAAAGACGTCGCCGACTTGTACCGGAATTGCGTGAGGCGCGAGTCGGATCTAGCGGCCTGGCTGTGAAGGGTACTTCACGAGTGCAGGACGATGATGTTGAAGCCTGGTTTCGCAAGCGAATCGATTCTAGTTCCCACACTGCGTCCGTTGAAACTTCTTGTTCGAGAGAGAGTATTCGAGCGACTAAAAGTGACCCGGCGAGGAAGAAACAGAATAGACGTAGAAGAGCGAGTCGGCGACGCACCGATGGCAGTTTGGACAAGCTCTGAGGCATTCGAGTAGGGATCATCTATCTGAGACATTCGACGTCCGAGTCTCAAACCGGGATCGCTTTCGTGTGACGCTGATCCTCAGCAGCATCCAGCATGCCTTGCGGATCTGGTCCATCGCTGCGGTTGTTCCACACAATATTCAAGGATGCACGAATGCAGTCGTGGGAAAGTTGATGTGCAGTTAGCAAAGTAAAGGATGTACATTCTGAGCAATGCGTATGTCATTTGCTGTATCAACTGCGTTGTGTTCAGCTAGTGGTCAGTCGTCATACTCGGGTGAACTCTCGAGCTCCGATGGATTATCAAACTCGTGTCCAACATTATCGAACCTTACTGAGCAAGACAAACATGTTAGTGATCTTCGTAACTGCGTCGTGCTTTTTGGGTGGTTGCCGATGGGCGCCCATTTCAAAGCTTCCACCAACCTGTGCTCGATTCTTGGACTGATAGGTCCAGAGTTAAGCGCGAGGTGTGTTCGGAACGGATAATCTTCCGCACACATTGTATCTACCTACTGTACATACCTAACACGACACTCGAAGTGTCCTCTAGGAATGGTATGACCGAGTACTGTACACTGCGATAATCAAGAGCGATTCTGAATGCTATGAAAGCGATCCCTATCGAATCGTCTTCGCAGGAGGATGGATCAGATTTCGGCATTGTGTGGTTGACCATCACTGACTGATGCTATTGGTGACCCTTCTGCAAGGCCTTGATGCACAATCGACGTATCACCGCAGTTGATGGTGGTTTCGATGTCACACTCGAATGCACATTCTGGATGGCGAGTAGAACCCTCATGGCGCTGAGCACACGGACATTACAGGAACTGAGAGCTGTGATGTGCTCACTGGAATGAACACGTCTCGAGCGTGTGGTAGTTGGACTCGTAGCGCGGAACCGGGTGACTGCGGCTTAGACGCTCCGACAGCGTCGTTCATCATCTCTTGTTGCAGTGGTAAAACTCCCTGGTTGCCATGCTGAAATCGAAAATCAGTTGGTACCTGCGACACTCAATGTTTGTGAGTCAATGAGTGCAAGTCGACAACTACATTCAAAAAACTGAGAATAGACGAGCAAGTAACTATGGGTTGCTCACACAACGTCAAGTGTGCGGCATTTTGTATTCGTAGAAGGTAGACATTAATGAAAAATCTCTTCACCTGCAAGCCATAATCATGGCGAGAGAACAGGAGGTTTCCGAACCTACAGTGCTAGCGACTTCTATAGGGTTGACCTGATCATTGATCCCCCAGACCAGCAGCACGGGTCTTGGATGCTCCCCTACACGGGAGTACTCGGCCGTCATGTCAAAGAAAGGGACTCGGTCCTGAACGAAAGCAACGAATGAGGTGAGGGTGCCGGAACGATGGAAGCTACCAGTATCGCAAGACTGCTTGAGATGCCATCCCGCTTCACTAGCGTTTGCCAGACTACCCTACGCCAGAACATTTCTTGCCACTCCAGCTCAGCCTACAACGTTGCGACCGAGTACAATATGACCATTTGTGCGTCATCGATGATGAACCGTGCATACCTCAGTGCGAGGCTCGTCTCCTATAGCACAGGCTCGCTGTGCCACAAATTTGTCGCGGGCGAAAATACATGAGCACACGCAGTGTTGAGCTAGCGGAATAATACAGCAAGGGCAGCAATGTAGCAGCTGATAACTGAATGGTTTAATGGGGATGAACCCAGCTGGACTCAGGAGGACGAGCCTCTGACATAACTCTGGGTTCCTACAGGGACATGGAGTGTGCATAGGCTATCTCTTCCGTGACACTCACTTATCGGCGAAGCTGACGGCCACTGCTCCTCCAAAGCTGAATCCAATCAGGCTTATAATCAAGTCGCGGTCAATGAGCTTCAAATGATCCATAAGGAAGTAGAGCTGGTCTACAAAAAAGTCCAAATCGTAGGAGGCCCGCTGCTGGCAGCAGCATTTTCCAGCCCCTGTACAATGGGCTACTGGGGGAGCGTTGGAAAGGCCATGACCATACATATCATAGGTTAGAACCTTGGAACCAGGTGGTCGAATGGCCGAGCGACGAGTCTCGACTCACCATTCGGCTCCTTGAGAGAACCTGCGCTAGATCCGAATACAGCATCTTCGACCCATTGAGGCCGTGTAAGCAGATAGCGAGTTCTTGTGTGTTATGTTCTGTGCCGAGCAGTTGATAGGATACGCAGCCATAAGGGCCTGAGTGCTGGCCGCGTGATGATGGTGTACTCTGGCAGGTCCCTACCATCGACACTGTTAGTCTCGGGAAAGGGACATTCTATATCCCGGAAAGACTTCGAGACGCGCCATCGTGAGTATAGTCTGGGGCCGTTAGTCGCCCTTTCCGATCCGAGTATAGCCGATGAGCTCGATGAGTCTCTAGTATGCACAGCTGATAGAGAAGGGTCCCCAGTACTTATAGCTGAGTCTGTCGCGCTGGGCATGAGTTAAGCTATAAACACTGCCAGAGAGGAAAACGAGCGCCGCACGATATCGGCATAGTCGAGGGAAGATACCACCAATAGAATGGTCCCCGATTCAGAACAAACCCAATAGCGATTCAGTCATTAACAACACACGGATGGGCAAAAGCGCCCCTTTGCCAGCATGGGTTTGCAGCTATGGAACCGGAGAGGACAACAAAAAACGCCACGCTGCTTCATGTCGATTAATTCCCCTTCGAGGCTTTCTCCTGGGCAATCTCAATCGGCATCGTCAGATCAACCACAGGCATAGGGACAGCCTCGAAAGCCTTGGAAACCTGATTTGAAGAGACTCACAATCCGGGTATGCCTATAAGAATGTTTCAGAGTCTCACCCTAGTTCCCATTTCAGCATACAGATCTTGAACTCTCTTGAAGCCTTTGGAGCTGGATATAGCAGCCGGCATCAATGAACTGCCGCAGGAAGCGTCCTGAGTACAAAAATCCGCCATGGTTACATTGGTGATATTTAACCTCCTGGGAGATGGTCGATTCCTCTTCAGCATCTAAGTTGAAGATATTACCACGAGCTTGGTATCTGAAAGACGTTCAATCATAGCGACCATGACCCTGTCTTCACAATAGGGCTATCAGCCGAAAGACCAGCTCCTTCGTAGCTTACTCAGGGCTCTCTCTGCATTCAGAGAGAGCATCCGAAACTCCGATGGCACCAAGTATGGTGGCGATGTCAAGCATTATTATGGTGGTAGGAAACGCTGATGAACTATAGAGAATTCAATTGAGGCTGTCAGCCACGCCGCGTAGGGTCACTTAGTTAACGAATCTCATAATCGCATAGGGGTCTAAGGCACCAGACTCAAGCTTTAGTGGAGAAATCCGCGTGGGTTCGACTCAAGTTCTGGTGAAGAAATCCGTGTGGGTTCGAACCCCCCAACTGGCATACTAAACTTACCCTTTGGAGGGACCGTCCAACTCGTCCCGACTTGGAGACCGAAACAGTTTAAAAACCCTGAGACTACCCAATAGTGCAAAGATTTCTACAAGCAGTCAGTTTGGCCGAGTGGTCTAAGGCGCCAGACTCAAGTTCTGGTGGAGAGATCCGCGTGGGTTCGAACCCCACAGCTGACATACTAAACTTACCTTTGAGAGGGACCGTCCAACTTGTCCCGACTTGGAGATCGAGATAGTTTAAAAACCCCGAGTCTACCCAATAGTGAAAAGTTTCACGCAACCAGTCAGTTTGGCCGAGTGGTCTAAGGCGCCAGACTCAAGTTCTGGTGGAGAAATCCGCGTGGGTTCGAACCCCACAGCTGACATACTGAACTTACCTTTGAGAGGGATCGTTCAACTTGTCCAGACTTGGAGACCGGGACAGCCGTGAGACTACCCGATAGTCAAAGCACGAATACAAACAGTCAGTTTGGCCGAGTGGTCGTAATACTAGTGATATTGTTGAGACTTCTTTCTGAAAGTGGTCAATACCTCCCTTAAACTATGACCCGATCATTATCAGAACACGAGCCCACTCTTCGCTCCAGAAACATGTTTAGCAACCCATCATGGAGCAAACTCAGTGGTATGGACTGGGCCAAGGGATGGTGACCGACCCCAGATTCGACGGCCATCTCTTCTTGTTGTCCGGATGAACTATATAATAACCGTGGTATTTCCTCTCCTTTGGTTTCGTCTTCCCCGTAGTGAGTCTCTCCATATACTTCAGGCGCCGGCGTCTGAACTCACCCAAGGGTCAAGCCGCACGAACTCGCCTCCACTCACCGGAATAGAGGATCCACGAAGCGATGGCGGTGTTCCATGAACAGCCGTTGACGCTTTGGAATCGGGGACTCGAGATTCTGAAACCCACCGACTAACCTGCCCCCTCCCTGCGGAGCTCGGCAAATACAGAATCCAAGCTCAGATACGCGAGAGGAATTCGAGGGTTCAACTTTGAAACCCAGCTAGCTCTTCTCCGCCCACCCGGTTTGACGGAAACATTATTTCCTTAAACCTCGATCTAGCCTGTTTACGACGTTGACGCTGAACACCAGTAATATTATGCTACTGTTGAGTGGATATCGCTTCACTTACATATGCTGCTTTTCTACTCTCTAACAGTTTGGGGGAGAAGTCCGAGTTCCCAAATCTCATATTGAGACGAACATGTTTGAGCGTCCTGACGGGGGTAGTCGGTACTTCCACGGCACCGTCATCATCGACCGCCGTCAGCTCGGCATCAAACTCGCCGCTAGGCGGCAGGTCGAATTCGTTGACTAAGAACAAGTAACCGAACTAGATAGGAGCAAATGCATTTATTTATATTTTTCGCCGTCACTCGAATCTCACTGAGCCGACCGTCATCGCTCTTGGTCCCTCGTTTCTACCTTCCCGTTTTTCTTCCTCTTTAGATGTAGCAGCGACGTCATAACCACTTTCCCGATAAATGTCCTCCTCTGTCAGGCCTCCGAGAGCTTCCATTCCTGCTGTCGCTTCCAGATTGTCCTCTTCCAGCAAAGAACGTACTGAAGAACCCTCGTCCTGAAAGACCCTAGTATGGCCATATTCCCTCCAACCACTTCGGTCAGTCAGCGACTCGGGGATGCACCACCGACGATGCCCACTGGCGATAGTCCTACCACGATATCCAGCCCCGTCTCGCTAGCGACCTCTGTTTCATCGAACTCGAGATGAACGTCCGCAGCGCCAGACCACGGTATGGGTATCTCGTGCTCCCGGAGGGCGTCCATTGCCATAGACCTTGCCTCGGCAGGCGTACTAGCATGCATCTAGATGGTAAATAGCCTCGGATTTCCCTGCTACAGGTTAGCGAGCTAGAGCAGAGCACTACAGTGATTCTGCGATCGATCTTCTCATAGTCCAAGTTTCCAAGATTGTCCTTTAGTAAGGACATCAAGAACATGAGCTCATCTGTTGCCTTCTCGAAGAGCCTCCCATTCTCTGACACCAACGACCTCATTACAACGCTGCCCGACAACCAAACTACCCAAGTCGACTTCCGCAGCCTCGGTGCTTCCAGACCCACCAGGGACGTACCCCGGACCAAACATCGGTGGAGTTTCGCGGTAGATCCTCTCGGGCACTTGGAACGATAATGGGCTCTCAGAGTCCATCAGACGATACCTATTGCAGTGTTAACCTAGTGCATGACCTCAAATGCTACATCGCATGGAGGTCTTGAAACGCTGGCTCCTTCCGAAAGGATTCCTCATCTAGCTGTGACAGGAAGGCCCTTATCCGATCCTTGTGCTTATACACCCTATGCATGACCTGGGACACTTAGCCACTTCGAGCAGGGCGATTGCAAAGTTCCAACCAACCTTGTCAAATTGATCCATCGCAGGGTGCTTCTTCCTATGATAACGCTCTGCTTGCATCTCGAAATAGTCTCCAACCTTGAACTCTGGGACGTTGTATTTACTAGGAAAGTACCATTCAGCATACTTCGGGCCCTCTAACGGCTTCAGAAACCATCGCTCACCTAAATTAGCGAGAAACCATCAACTAGAGGTTATGGAGACCAACAATACACAGATGGAGCCAACTAGCTCTCGCCCCAGCCACATTGCCCTGCACTACCCGGCATGCCCTTCATCGGCCCCCAAAGTCTATCCTGCATCTCCTGAACATGTTGCTGCTTCACACCACGCAAGTGCTTTACTGCGGCCCCACTCCATCGCATATCTCACGCAAGCTACTTACAGGAGCCCCTTAGCTTCATTACAAACACAACAGACTGGTGATGGCGAAACGGTGTCATTTAAAAAGGCAGGTTACTAGCCTTTCCAGTACTCACATCTATGGTGTTTATCACTCCTCATCTAAAACAGAACAGATACCGAGATACCATATTCAAAGGATAGACTCACCGTCAGGCTTCTCAGGCTTGGCCGCCGCCATGAGCGTATTAATCTCATCATCAGAAAGCATTCTGAAAGCGACCTCCTTATCCTTGTTGAGAGTCAGGACACCAAATTCAACTGAGCAGGCATCAATGAAATCACACTCAGGAAGTCGGTCGACTCACGGGTCTCAGCCGTGGGCGTAGCAGTGTCCATAGACTTCACCAATACCTTGGCTACTAGATCCAAGCAGTCCTGAGGCGAATCATCACTCATGTGAAGAACCACAGTCGCCACACCAACCTTAGTGGACATGTCCTCATGCCAATCAGTTTTGAGGATGCCCTGTGCCGTTTGGTTGTTCACACCAATAGCCGTGGCCTTCCACCCGCTGAGATTGCCAGAAGGGTCAGTGTGGTACCTGCACGACCGTAATGATCAACGTTGGGCAAGGAGAACACCGACAGTTGGAATCCGTAGTGGTCATCATAGCCAGCGAAGAGGAAGGATACACCAAAGGGACGGAGACCGCCGAATTGAGTGTATCTGCCATACACGGGGGTCGCAAGGTCAGTCATACGAATGAGTCAACTCACTGTTGTTTCACATCGCATATGCTGGTCACTAGTTTTTCTACTGGTATCGGTTCTTGATACGCGTAGCGATACCTATATTAACCATCACTGTTGGCCACTGTGATTGCTTCTGCCTCTACCTCTGAGCTGACAGTCGCAGCTGATTAATAAGAACGTTGGCATCACTTGTGATACCAGCAACAGCGCACACAACATGGTCATCTATGGGATAGATCTTCTCACTCGCTTTACCAGACTCGAGGAGTTTACTAAGGACAGATACATCTCATCAGCAGGGCGCAGGTAACAATACCTGATAGTCTTCTTTTCACCAGCCAGAATGACACACTGCTTGCCGAGCACACCAACCGTCGATCCGGCATTGTTGATAGCCTCCATCGCATACTCAACCTGATCCGAATACATCAGAGTTCTTCACGCCACTGTGCCCACGGTCGACTATATTCTAACGCCGTCTCAATGAGCTGAGTATGTTCGAAAGTGTTACCTGATAAAGCCTGCCTTCCGGGGAAAACGTAGTAGTACGACTATCGTAGCGACGGGCCATGGTTCACTGTATGAATGACAACAACTACTACTCCCACAGAGATTACCAAAGACACTAGCATTAGGCAGCCCCGGCCTTCGGGGAAGCGGTCATCACTACGCCACGAACGCAAGAAGTAATTCACTGATTACTGGTGAAACTTCTGAACACGTTGCTACTCTTTATCGTCACCATTAACGTCATCTTTCTCATCATCGGAGCCATACCCAAGGCACTTTCCCACATGGTATTTATTCAAAGGCTCGAACTCTCGGCAGAGGCTCATGCCGCACAACAACTGGTTCACCTGCAGAGATACGGTACGTTCAACTAGCAACAGGTCCTTCACCAACATTCCCTTCTTTTCGAGCCTACAGAACTTACCTCAACTAAGAGTGTCAACTCCGCTCCAACTATCGACACCGCATGCTTATCGTCATCAACAAAAGGGCTGACCAGATCCAACACCATCTGCCGCTTCATGTTACCTAATGCATACCACATCATCAACGTAGTCCTGAATCCAAACGGCGCTAGTAAGGCAGGCTCAGTGTTTAAATTCATGTTTGATTTCCTCAACTGACCTCAAGAGTTTCCTCACTACATATAGAAGCTTGCCCGTGAAATCGGGTAGAAATGTACAAGAATCAATGAGAATTTCCATAAATTTCATCTGAATCTCAATATTGTCATCAACACACGTAGTTTACCATATGCATATTGCCCATCCTGGCCAGACTTCGTCTGAAGACGACGTCAAACTCTATATAGTATTGGTATTTGATGTTATTATTGTATCACTCATATTGCGACTGTTGATCTCCATCTTCCACGTCTCGGTGCCCTGACTCTCCTTGCCCAAATGCTCCGCCACGAATTTCTCGCCCATCACCTTCAACGAGTCAGGATTGGGAGCTCGAACAATGTCCAATGGTGATATCTGAAAACATGAAATCTCCAAGGGCACTTCTATGCAATTAATAACAGTACCCGGCACACATTGCTTGGTGCAGTGAGGTCCTTTGATTTCAGCAGACTGTGCACAAACTCTGATGGCTTCATGGTGACACCGGCCTCAAAACGAATGAATACCACTCCTCGGCAAACGTCTCCCCCGAAACGGAACAGTCTGTTCTTCTCTTCCTTCAACTCAGCCAGCTCGGCCTCAATGCTTTCACTAACATTCGCTGTGCCCTCCTCTGAAGTAGACTTCTTATCAGCATCGGGGTTGATAGCAGCCCAATGGAGCTCGAATAAGCGTATTATATCCCTTGTGGCCGTTTTGACACGGTTGGGCAAATTGCACGTTATGATTACACCTAAGAGAAAATAAACTCCCCCAATCTCTATGGCGTCCCATAGTACCTCTAGCGTCTGCGTCCAATCCTTCCAAGGGGACTTTCTCGATCGCCCGTCGCCGCTTAGCATCATGTCTCGAGTAATGCCGACCGCCGCGCTTCCCAGGCATGCCGAATCAAACCTGACCGTGTGAAGTACACAAACACTCCCCTCTACCAAACAATAACACCCTATCGTATTCTTGAGACTAATCTTGAATTCCCACATGGACGTTGCTGCTGCCTCCCGACAAAGAGGGTTATAAAGTAGGATTCGTAATAGGAATCCTATGTACCGAGCCGGATGGCCTCCAAGCGAAGGCGAAACTCATCGTAGGTCGTCTTTGCACCCGTAACAGGTGCATCATACCGTGAAGGAGAGCCCTGCATTCTGGCGGAAGCAGCGTCCAATCCCGAGGACATTTTCAGCCAGGGAACTAATCTCACTATATGCCGGTTTGGCGGACGAGCTGCTTGTAGATCAGCGAGGTGACACACTGCGACACTCGTTTGATCGCATGGGAAGGTGGCGGTAGAACGAGGCGTGACGCGGGTAGAGTCTGATAGCCATCCA